CAGGAAACAGGATTTGTTTTAAAAAAATGCAAAAACAACTTTAACATTCTTTGTTCACGGTAGCCGACTGGAAAGTTTGCAGACGATCGTTTGTGCAGACATCAATCCAAAATGGCGCCCGTTAAAAACGTTTGGTTTCGAGGCGGCCCGTGTCACCATACCTTCTCTTCAAGGCAAGGATCAAATCTTTTGGCCGCGACTTAACGTCGACTTGCAGAGGCGAAACAACTACACTTATCTAAACCTCCCAATCTCTAGGGGTTCATTTTCGGGAATAGCGTTACGCGAACGGATCACGTGTTGGGCTGCCATTTACCCCTATTGCCATGACAACCGCGCGTGTTTTAATATTGACAGGAATTGTTCGAGACCGACCCGCACGTTCACCGGACTGGTTTATCGACAGGGGGAGAGCGGGAGGGGGGTCTATCAAGTCTTGTGGGAGAGCTTTACGGCGCCGAACATGTTCGCGTGATGCCCGTGTCCAACCCATGCATGCTGAGTTGGCTCGGCGCCAGATCTCGTGCACTCATCTCGTATCGTCGCTCTCCGTGATCGAAGGCAGTCGTGTATATAATGTCTACAGACCGGCGAGTCTTCGATAACTCGCTTGCGACAAACCTTAAATTGTTATCGATCCAACTGAGACAATCATGTGACCAAGACCCAATCACTTGCCGGCCACATTCCAAACTATCGATTCTCCATTGTATCGGAGCGTGTTCCGTTTCTCAGCTACTCCTATATTCGATAAAGTTTTCGAGACGATTCCGTGCCCAGTTGCACGGGAGTGTGAACCGCCATAGACGCCATCGGCAAAAAATCTGACGCAAATATTAGCAATTTTCTCCATGGTTAGTACCAGTTCTATAGTCTTGCCGCGCGTCCGACAGTAATTAACGGTCTTATAAAACCGTATACGTTCTGAAGCGAAAAGGGAGATTAAATACGACACCGTGTTTTTACTCCAGTTCCCTTCTTAAGGCGAGCGTTCATCTGCCGGACCAGTCATGTACAAAAATGCCATGTCGTTAACGCATGTTATAGTTAAGAATCTTATTTTCGATTACAAAGCTTATGAGTATCTAAGTAGCCACGACATCATGAGGTAGTTTCAGACGTCGCTGCAAAATTGCAGTCCCTTAAACAGACGCACTACAAAAATCACGTGACTTAGACGTGATTTTTCGAGAAAGATATCGGTTATTATTACATGTTCGGAGAAGCTATTTGTTCATACTTTATTAAAGTCTGATAGGATATTAATTGTTTCGTGTAACCACTTCCCTGTAATCACAAATATTTTCCTTGTTGGTTACGACTCATGGTTTCGAAACTGGCTGTAACGGTTTTGTCAATATATATGGAACCAAAAAGGTCAAAGATAATGAATATTTTGGCTCAGTATTTTGAAATTGTGTGCTAAAGCTTCCCTAAAAACCCGAAACCTTTCAGTTCTATAGAAAATTATAGAACAAAGAGCTTGAATCCTTTTGCAGTTCATTTTCTGGACATTTGGTTCGGAATATCGCAAGTTAATGTTCTCTCCAATGTATTTATTTGCTTTGCAATATACATGTGTGTTTGAATGTATATTGCTATCAATCATAATTTTATTTCATTGACGATCAATAACACCATTACATACTCCCTGACAGCGACAAAAGGGGAACGGTCGGTGTAATTTTCGACGAATATTTAATGAATAATACATTATGTCATGCATATAGATGATAATAATGGGCAATTTATTTATTTGTCTTCGCTAGATCAATTTCCCCTAAACACCTTTTTCGTCACCCTTACATTGTACAATGGAACTGTCATCTACAATGTATTGCCCTTAATGAGGAAATTGATTACTCACGAGAGGCATATGTTAATAACATTGTGGTACGCAATAATGATACAAACAACGGTTTAGTCATCAGACTGGTGAACTTTGAATCCTCGTGCAATCGGTTTGTGCGTATTAACCCAGCATGTTTCGTGCGCCCTGTGAAGGTGAACGTCAACTCGGATGTTGCCGGTTTCGTTTAATGATTCCGAGGTGTTATCATTCGGTTTTTCTGCATTAATAATCCTATCAAAAATATTGGACGTACTGGTGATTTCGTTAGCCCTCCCCCAGGTCGTTAAATCCACTGACCGGTCCCCTTGAGGGCGTTTTGGACTCTCGTCACGTGGTGGCTGAATATTTATGATGACCACCGGTCTTAGTTCTCCGACTGGACGCTTGACCTTTGTGTCTGGGTCGTCAAAGAACGCTTGACCGTAACGGTTATCTGAGATGGCGGTTTTGTTTGCAACGAGGGCAATAGCTGATAATGATCACTCTCCGACCGCGGAGGTCTGATAAAGAGGGGCATTATCTAGTTTACCGAAGGACGCCCTAGCGGCCGCGATTCTACCTGTCATATATCAAAAATCATATTTGCATGACCGAATGATAAATTTATGCTCGTAGGAACTCCCACATGCTAGATAGTTAAAGATATTAAAGAAACATTTTTGCTACCGAGCCGAACGATTAATTCGTAATGGAGATGACGATAGTTCGACAGGTCTCTTCACTTGTTAAATGTTAAATATCAACTATATCTTTTAAGTTTAATAGAGCAGTTTATTGTCGTTTCGGTGTATATGGTGCACTGTTTCAGCTTTTGTTTCATTGTACTGATAGCAATCCGATGTTGACATTTCAGGAAATGAGTTAGTGTGACTTCAAGCATGTATATTGTCATGGTAATACTATCAAAGCCTAACTGAAACAGTATGTGTATGAATTATTTATTACGTCGAAGTCAAAGTAGGCAATAGCGTGTGATCCTTCCGATGTAACATAACGTATAGATGTCGCCCCTCGCCATGTCGGTCACGTGACACTTGTGCATAGTGACGTATTTTTACGTCAGTCTTCGTACGTTCACCCCAGTCATTAGCCTCAGTCTTTGCATATTTACCTCAGTCTGTGTTCAATCACACCATTCATCGTTGTACATACGTACCTTAGTCATCGCTGTCATTGTTCATTCCCCCAGTCATAAATGTACACAATCCGCAGTCATTGATGTACTTTATTAGCCTTAATCATGGTACAATTACCCCAATCATTTTACATTCACCCCAGTCATCGCTCTCCGTTTACCTCAGTCATTGTACATTCACCTCAGCCATTAGTGTACCTTTACCGCAGTCATTGTTCGTTCACCCGAGTCATTGCTGTCCGTTTACCCTAGTCATTGTACATTCACCTCAGTCATTAGTGTACCTTTACCGCAGTCATTGTTCGTTCACCCCAGTCATGGCTGTCCGTTTACCCTAGTCATTGTACATTAACCTCAGCCATTAGTGTACCTTTACCGCAGTCATTGTTCATTCACCCGAGTCATGGCTGTTCGTTTACCCTAGTCATTGTACATTAACCTCAGCCATTAGTGTACCTTTACCGCAGTCATTGTTCGTTCACCCTAGTCATGGCTGTCCGTTTACCCTAGTCATTGTACATTAACCTCAACCATTAGTGTACCTTTACCGCAGTCATTGTTCGTTCACCCCAGTCATTGCTGTCCGTTTACCCTAGTCATTGTACATTTACGCAATATAGATGTAGGTTTCCTCAGTGCTGTGGTATGTCAATGCCCGTCAGCAGTGATGTAAATTTACGTAAATACCGATGTCTTCTCTTACACAGTTCGTTTATATTTCATTTTACATTTTACAGATATTTTCCTTTGATGAAATATGTTTTACATTGACACAATTTCTAAATTTATTGATATACATTAGCATGTACTTAACATTTTCATACTTACACATTCCTTTTGTTGCGACTTTACACGTAAGGCACTAAATTAATATATGTGCAGTACATATACATGTAAAAACTATGTAATATGTTTCTATGAATCACCCAAGCGAACCCATAGCTCATTGTACCCTTGCATCCTAAAATACACACTTTGACGGATACACCTTAAACGTATTCAGGTCTCCGGAGTACACACAGTTCATAAATTAGATCACGCACATGTGACAGAGGCAGTAACGTAATACGCGAACGAAATTATCTGCTGTAATTTGAAAATGTCACGTAATCCACAACTAAACATGACCAGAATTATTAATAAGTATTAAAATGCACAAATGCCATCTCAGCGTCCATGTCACTTCACGCAAACCTCCCCACATGCACTTGGGGAAAGTCCATTCGTGACAGAGACTTCTCGTTCCTGACTTCCTCGTCTTCTCCACCTGATTCCAGGGGACGATGAATTATTCACGGATCATCAAATTGTAATTAGTCAAGAGACGTTTCGTAATTACAGTCTTGCGGCGGTAATTGTCTTGTATTCGAGGCCAAAAACGTCCATTTCAAATTAATGTCCACTTTCTGAGTTGAAAGCAAAATCTGGAATATTGTCAAATGAAGTTAGCGTAACTTTCCTGAGGGGTAAGATGGCAGGAGGTGCAGAGGAGGGGTGGGGTCACGGGGGAGGGGTGGGACACAGAGGAGGCATTTCTATTGTTGTCAATTCACATTTGTCCAAACGTTCACATGTCGGTCGCCGCGAACACTACGCAGGTTAATGTTGTGACTAACCCGTTGGGCATTCGTCGTTGGAGAGGTGTATACGGTTTTTTTATTGCTTACGTCATTTATTCGTATAATTAGGAGCAGGTCCCTCAAGTAAATATAGCCGATGTCGTGCAATACGACACGCCTTTGTTGATATTGAATGCTGTCGTCACGGGAATGTGCGTACCCTATCGGCTGAGGTGAACTCTATGGGACTCGCAAATTCATATAATCCCTACGAAATAAGCATGCGTGCACACGAATTAAAGCCGTCTTTTGATAAACAGATCTGATGTTCATGTTGAATGGGCAGACAAAGCGTCGGTCTCAGATTTTATTTCGTCGGTTTTAATAGGCTGATTGTGAATGCTCAATAAAGTTGTTTCGTGGCTGCGGATTTATTGAGTGGTTTCTGTTTCAGACAAACGAGCCGAAACTTGTGAAAGACAAACGTGAACGGGACCTAAGGGAAAGGGCAAGCAAAGGATGTGTCGGGTCACCGTCAGGATCCGACAAGGAGGAGGGGGGTAGTCGAGCAAGCGAAGACGATGGGAGCGAAGAAGCTGACGAAGAGAGTCAGGAGTCGGGCGAGAATGGGGATGAAGACAGTGGGTCTGAGGAAGAGGAAGAAGAGGGGAAGGTAGAGGAGAACAACAACGAGGCTGGTGAAAAGGAGTCAAGCAGTAGTGACGGCTCATCTTCATCTGGTTCATCTTCTTCCGGTTCTGAATCTGGGTCTGATGAAGACGAGAAGAAGGACGAAGAAGAGGAGGAAGAAGAGACTACACAAGAAGAAGCTGTGGCGGAAGAACCAACGGAAATTGTTCCCGAAAGTATTGAAACTCCAGTTGAAGTTGGTAACACAGTTGATGAAGATGAGGATATACCTGAAGAAATGGAGGTTGCTGAGGCTACCCAAGAGGATGAAGGAGGGAGTGAGTCTGTTGTAGAAGAGGAAGAAGAAATGCCAAATGAGGAGGGTAATGTTGTTGAATCTAAGGACGAGGATAGTATTCCTGCTTTGGAAGAAAAACACGACGTCGAAGCTGAACCAGAGACTCCTATGGAGGAAGAGGAAGAGGAAGTGGAGGAGGAAGAGGAAGTGGAAAAAGAAGAGGAGGTCGAATCCAAGGCTGAGGAGATGGAGAAGTGTGAAACCGAGGACACACCAATGGAGGAAGATAGTTCCGTGAAGGAAGAAGAGGCTGTCGAACCAACTGAGTCGTCCGAGCAAGCTGAAAGTGAGACCGTCGAAACTTCTTCCGTTTGTGCCAACGAGATGGAAGACTCCAAGAGCTTGGGGGAGTCAAGGGCGAGTTCTCCAGTAGATGTCAAACCAGAAGATGTGCTAACTGACAGTGTTCCTGTGGTAGAGTCGGACAAGACGAAACAACTAACTGAGGACGAAACTAGTCGGGGTAGTGTCAGCAGTGCCCCCAGCGTTGACAGTAGCATTAAAAACTCCTCCGACCGTGAACAAACCCCGACCCCTCGCAAGCTTTCCACACCAACCTTACCTGAAGTGTGTGTCAAGAAAAACGCAGAACGGTCAAACAGGTATGTTTTTAAAAGTATTTACTTACAGTGCCTTTACTGACAGTGCCGTTACTTACAGTACCTTTACCTACAGTGCCGTTACTTACAGTGCCGTTACTTACAGTGACTTTACTGACTGTGCCGTTACTGACAGTGCCGTTACTTACAGTACGGTTACTGACAGTGCCGTTACTGACAGTGCCGTTACTGGCAGTGCCGCTACTGACAGTGCCGTTACTGACAGTGCCTTTACTGACAGTGCCGTTACTGACAGTGCCTTTACTGACAGTGCCTTTACTGACAGTGCCTTAACTTACACTAATACTTTGTCCTCAGCTGAACAATATGCAATCGTTAATAACTCGACTAGATTTTGACTCTTAAATCCATTTACAATCAAATACTCTTTGATTAGACAAGCAGTTAAGAAACATGGACGATGAAAAACAATTCATAAAAAATAACGATAGGACTTTTGCAAAAAAGCGTCAAACTCCGAATTCCAAAATGGCGTTTTCGGTTGTTTCCGACATCACGGGCGGCGGAGGTAATTGTAGTCATGTCGACAGTTGATGAATCGTTGTCCTCCAATGCCGCAGGCATTCAGGTCATTGAGCGTTGGGGGACAACGGGGAGGAGGCTGGATGCAGGGAGGCTTTCTTGTTACTCTTTGCACTGTGTTTCTAATGTAATTTAACACACGGAGGGGACATTTCTCAGGATTAGCATTGCAGCGGCGTGAAATGGCTCGCAACTTGTTTTTTGTTGCTTTTTGGGACATCTGGAATTTGTCGCAATCCCGTTGAAAGAATTCGAATTAACTAAGGCAAATTGTAAACTTAAAATGTGTGGTCAGTGTAAATGTGAATTTCAGCGTAAAATCCACATGTTCAAACTGGCATTTCGAACGGTGCGGCATTATATCGTCATGTGGTATAGCTGCAATATCCAGCCCGGTGTAAGTTGAGTTGAGTTTGATATTTAGCGGTAATATTATCACAGAGTAGGTCATATGTCTTTGATTCTCGGTGAGCACCAACCCCGTCCATCCACACCCCACGTCAACCTCAACCCTAAAATATTGTTTCATGTTTTAAGCACGACACAATACCATTGCTCTTAAACCCACCCAACCGGTCGCTTAACGTAGATAGAAAGAAATGTTGAAATATGTATTTTAATGGCGACAAGAAAATCTCCAATCGCTCCCCAAAGCAGCGTCCGTTGTAGAATTGCAACATACGTACGAGTTAATGAATCGCGGTTAAATAGTTGTGATACCAGTTTCGGCGAAGACTTGAGCGTATCATGCCCCATCGACGATCCCCGTCACAAATACATGTAAGCCACGTCAATTGTTCACCTCCAAAGTACCTGTGAACATATGTGCACTTCAAAATAGGAATTGCGTCTGAAGGAAAGGAGAAATAAATACATGCCGTCTGCGGCACCGCTCTTGTATTGCCATGTCTACACTGTAATTCTTCAACTGTTCAAGGGAAGCCATTATTTACACAGAATTCCAAATAGGTATTACCCAAGTCCATCAATCTTCCAGCATCGTCGTCAACGTTCATCAAAGAACTTTCCCCCTCCTCGAATTGTCTAGGGAATATCTTTCAATTTCAGTCAATTTCTACTCAGCAACCGCTATAGTGTTTAAAACGGAACTGATTGATACATAATAACATCAAAGGGGGTTCCCGATCACTTGGAAATCGAACGTGATCGGCGTCGGAAGAAACAATGATAAATGACTTGGGAAGACATGCTAGAGGAAGACTTTCAGACTAAATGCCTTAAGAGATTTATTACCAGTGTTGTAGATTTCCTGTACCGACTCCTTCCATAAAGACATGTTTTGTTAGATGTGTGCATCTCCCGTGGGTGTACAATCTCTTTGGTTTTCGCACATTGCCATATAATTAAGTAAACGTATGTTTTACGTTTATTATATAGCATAGAAACCTTCAGACCACTATTCTTGAAAGCAGACGATCAATTTCTATTTAATTCTGACGATCTTTGTCTCGCGATAGAAGCATCTTCTGAAACTGTCGTAATTAGTTATTTTCTGCGATCGTTTGTTTTCAAAGGCAAGGTGATTCACAAGTACACTGTAATGAATTAACCAGACGCGATGTATTTTTGCAGTACATTACAATCTGTCATTGTTAATTTCAGCGGCGGAGGTAAATCTCGCCTGAGCAACATTATTGATCTTCTGAGGACATCGAAAGAAAAAGAGACCCAAAAACAAACGCCGCCAGACAGACCTGAAGAAAAACGCCAAGAAACGCGACAGCCAGAAGTGAAGGATGTTAAAACTCCTTTTCCCCATCCACAAAGACGTGACGAAGCCAAGTCCAGGAAACCAGAGCGGGAAGAACCGTCGGTTCAGAAACCATCCAGAGGTATCTGCCGCCAGCACTTACTGGTTTCATGTCTCAGATAGATTAGACACGATACTGACACTAAAGTAACCACGGCTTCATATCCTCAATCATTTTAAAATGGATCGTCGATAAATATACTCTCAGTCGTTAAAAAATGGATCACGGAGTTTTCATTAAAGTCGTCGAGATATGTCATCTGGATGAGTGTTTTTTGTTGCGGTCGAATGTGTTCTCTTTTGCCTTTGATGGGCTCATATGTCTATCAGAATAATTCGCAGGCATGCTTTACAGAACATAAAGAAATGGGAATCGGGTGGCCAATAATGTGTCGCAGCCGAGTGTGTCTTTAAACATCGTGGATGATTTTTCGGGCTGTGAAGTACTGTTTTTCTGCTCCTAGTTGTCTAGAGCCACGCTCGGCAGTATTCCAGCTCAACGCCGACGGTCGTTAATAATCGAGTCTGGAAAGGTCAATTTAGTTATTGATATCACGAGAATCGATCAGCGAACGGGATACGACAGTAGTTTACTAAGTCCGCGAGCCTGACCACCCTGTCCCGTTAGTTGCCTCTTGCGACAAGCGTGGGCTGCTGATTACAAATATATTCTACCCCGTCCTCACAGGGAGCTGTTTTAAAGACATCAAACTTCAGTGACGGTGCTAGTATACTACTAGCATTGACGTAATCATCTATTTCTGGTTTTGATGACGTAATGATGATAATATAGGAGTATACTAACGCGATATTGTGATCTCAGAACCCCATATGCTCTTACATCGTTCTGGTTTATATATTTTTTGTATTTTGGTTTACAGAGGACGCCAGAATGAGCGAGAAAGCCCGTGAAGCGATGCGGCTTCCCATGGGTCGGCTTCCGTTTGGTTTCCCACCACCAGAGATCTTAGAACGCGCCAGTAGAGAAGCTCACGAACAACTGTCAAAGAGCCATAGGCAGTTTGAAAAGAACCTCGAATCTCTCATCACCCAAAATATGAATCCATTCATCCCGGAACTAAGTATCTTCTCCTTACCGGAACATCGTGCACAGCTGGAGTATAACTACATCAAGAATATGGAACGTCTGGATCAAATGGCGAAAGAACGGATGGCATCAATGGCCGAGATGCGCCACCAACAACTTCTTCGAGAACACAATAGCTTCGTGGCCAAATTGGCGGAACATCAGAAGCCGAAGCCTGTCAGGTCGGAGTCCAGTGAACACAGGAATAATAGGGAGAGTGTTAAGAAACCCATGGCTCCAAGTAAACGTTCTGTGCCCGATGGTAATTCGTCATCTTTACCAAAGGTTCCACATGCACACCGAGCAATGCCGGAAGTCAGAAAAGACAAACCAGATCACAGAACGTACGTGTAATTATGTTTTGTGTTGTGTTGTGTTTTGTGCTGCTTCTTCGACATGATTGGAATCAGTATCACTCAAAGGAGTGTTTCGTGGTTAGCTCGTAACCCAGCCGCAATTGGCATCATGAGTACAATGTGTGAAGCCCATTTCTGATGATAATGCTGGTATATTGCTAAAAGTGGCGTAAAACAATACTTACTCACCTCATTAGGTTTGTTTTCGAATATATGACCATTTTCATATTGTTTAGCTTCTTTGTCCCTTCTACACTTCTAAATATGTACATATGTAAAGCTGATTTAATATATATTGTTAAACCACTTATTGTATATATTTGTCCTTTGAAAAAAACAATTTGTACTTAAAGAAATGTGTTTCTATTTACAGACTCCAAACGCCCCCTGCAGCACATCACCATCACCCTTCGAGTCGACCACCAAGTACCGGAAATAAACCACCGTCCGCGCTTCCGCTTCCGGCTTCAACCGGAAGAGCGGCTCACCCAACAGGTCCAAGTGCGACACAGTCCCGGAGCTCCCCGATGGTGGCACCAATAGCCCCTCCACTCCAGATGTGGTCGTCCTGCTTTCCATATGTAATTCCACCACCGACAATAGAAATGCAAAGACTTACTCAGTTTTTCCCCAACCTTAACGGAGGGATGTTCTCAGCGGAAACGGGCGAGAAACGTCAAACGGAGTCCCCAATACTTGACCTTTCCACGAAAAAGAGAAAAATGGACGATAATAGCTATGAACATCGCAGCAAACAAGCAAAATTGTCTTCCAGCTCACGATCAGTTCATCCTCCACATGCTAACGGATTACAAAGAGATCGCCACTCTCATAAAGATTTCAGTGCTAAAGACAGACCGATGTGGGCCAACTTTGAAAGAAGTGGCGCTGTTGCTTGCACATGCGCATTACAGCATTTAAACGACATCCGGCACTGGTCCGTGGAGGATGTATGTTGTTTCCTTAAAGGACTGGAAGGATGCTCTCCATATGTTGATGTAAGGAGACCATTGTGCTGTAGTTATAATTTTTTGTTTGTAATAATCCAAACATTACTTCAACAGGACGAGACCATACCTGAGCCTTGTAAGTGGTTGCCCGGGGCGACTACACATATAGGTCCTAAATTAACAACCGCCAAAAAAAGTCCCATAACACACAACGGCCGATAAAGATGTTTGTTATAAGCGAAAACATATTAAAAGCATTCGTTTTACGTTCAAGCTATCATTTAACATCATCTGAAGCTTAAAGTTTTCTTCAAAGCCGCCTACAATTTTTCTAAACCGGTTGTGAATAATTCATTTACCCAGCTTTGAATGGCAGTCGCTAGGTGTTCCACTCCCAACGCTTCCATAAAACTAGGGCAACGGAATTACATGGTAATGTTTGAACGGATCGCTTACTAGACGGACGGTCCCTAGACACGGCAAACATACAATATTGAAGAGAATACACCATTTCTTCTCGCTTGGCTAATCATTCATGCATTCTTTCATTTATAGTTTAACCATAAACTGATATTGTGCGAAGTTTCTGAACTGTGTAGCAGACAGCTTTTTGAGGTTTCGGGTATTTTCTATATCAATTTGGGAATATACTTCGTTTCTCTTGAACAGAAATATTTCTTTTTTGAATTTGAAACGTGGTGTTAATGCTAGTGCAGATAGTAGATACAGAATGGTACGTATAAGATGATAGCGATGTACCTTAAACAGGAATAATGGATTTCTTTAAAGATGAATAGTGATGTATTGGAGGCCGACTGAAGTTCACGAGGTGATGATGGTTTATGTATCACGTAGTTGGATCTGTGTATTCTGTCAACCGAAGCGTGTCAGATGTATCTAATATCTACACATTAAGTTAAAGACAAATTGTGACAATGCATATAGAGGGATCTCTTAATAAAATACTTACAAAATATACTCCTCAAAAGTATCTATACTTGTTCAAACAAAGTTTAGGAACACCTGATCCATTCATATTTCTATGGTTTATCCACCATGACAATCAAACAAACTGCATTGCGATCTGTATAAGATATCGAGATAATCGACATGACGGCAGGTGATATAGATATGTACTAGTGTCTGTGTGTGTGACATACGAAATAGTTATCTAATATATGTGCAACGATCAATAAGCATTGGGTGCACAATATGTTATATATACTACTGCTATGTTGCATCAAATGAACCAAATCCAACATGTATCTATAATAGATGTTGGTGATTGTACAGTGTGACAAACCGGTTTATTTTATGTACTAGTGTCTGTGTGTATGACGATACTATACCCAGCGCACTAGTTATCTAATATATGTGAAACGATCTATAAGCATTGGGTGCACAATACGTTATATATACTAAAGCTATGTTGCATCAAATGAACCAAATCCAACATGTATCTATAATAGATGTTGGTGATTGACACTGTAAATTACGGCGTCGGACTAGACTACCAGCAGAGTGGTATTAATCTCATATTAACACGGACATGCCCTAAGCACTTGTTACCATCTGTACAGCCATTACTTCAGACTCTGCCTCCCATTGTCCCGATGCGTTATGTAACACTCTACACAGATGAACAACACTCAGTCGTTAGATAGGCGAGCGTTATCGAGGCGTCCACTCATTCGCGAGGTCGTAGGTATTACGCCAAGGATTTATTTGTATGGGCCTGGCGACCCGGGGTTTTAGGAAATGTCCATTAACTATGCAATGATTCACGTGACGCAACACACACTAACGACAGTTATTACAGCAACGCAGGCTTCAACCCGTATCAATAGCTGCGCGATCCCGGCGCGGCCACCCGTGAATATCTACAACTGGTTTTGTTTACACGTAACGTTCAGGCTAAAGAAGATTGTAGGCCAATTACTATGGCTATTATCTCGGTAACCAGGAACGTACACTCCCGGGACGACTAACCTATTGTCATCCTCAGGCGTGACGAAAACAGTCTACAAACACGCAGTTCATTCTTACGTAATGATTTCAACTGCGTTTTAATGTCTGCAATAAAATGTTTAAAGGGTGATATTATTGCATGGAACTATAAGTGGCTCAGGTTAATAGCTCTTGGTGGATTTATGCTGAACAGATGTTCTGTCGTTACTTCATAAAATCATATTAATACATTTCAATACAAGCGTTATCCAATATTCAAAGTTCGCCGGTGCATATCCAAACATTATTATTGAAAATCTATGAAACATAAAAATCGATAAAAATTATAATATGGTGATTGTGATGAGTCTATCGACAGTGTTTGTTCTACTCAATAACAGGCCTGTGTTCACTAGCCATAGACTTCATATATTGTCCCTATGAACATTTGGTGATGGGTGAACAGTTTGACTGTTTGTTGCCCATTGTTATTGTTCAAACAATTGGCCAGTTTACCAAACATGCGTAAACATTAAAGTAACAGCAATTTCGTAGTCAACGTCGGAATATATTTATTAACCATAATTGTTTTTATTTCCAGACATTCCGTCGAAATGGAATTGATGGTAATACATTACTTCTACTGACGTCAGACACATTGATGAAGTCCCTCGGCATGAAGATCGGAGCCGCAACGTTCCTCACAGAAGCCGTAGCAAGGCGTTCAAGAGAACTTCAGAAGCTTGTGCCATGTGAATACTGCAGGTTTAAGAACCAAAAGGGCTAACCTCCCTGTAGTTGTGTTTTGGTGGTGCTTAACGGACGCCATGACCCAGTTGATCTGGAACTTTAGGATTTGTACATACGGTCGGTGTATTTTGCAATAGACCGGCCTGTACGATTCGTCGTAGGGATGTCGTCAACAAACGATGGCGTGACAGGAACGGGATGTATATTTTGGTTGAATTTCTTCTGAAGGGACTGCTCAGCTGGTACTCATTTATCATTCTCTCGTTTTGGAGAGATCCGGGACCATGAGGTCAATCCTCTGTCGGTATTTGTGTTCAGAGTCCGAGTGTCATGTGTTGTTGTTTCACGGAGGGTACCCGGCAGTTTTTGGATACGTCAACTTGAAAAATTCCAAAATTTCTTCTTCAAAGTGAACACGAAAATCCGTCACAATCTGCTCGGATCTAGTGATCATAAATATGTTATCACTGACAGGTCTTTAATCCATGTAGCTCATTCCATTAAACAGTGGACCAATGAATAGCTTCTTTTACGTCACGTGACTGATATAGACATAATCACCAAGACATTCATCACCCCGCCATGATGTATTGATATACAAACATTTCACAGTCATTCGTGTACAGAATGTTAAACATGCAGTGTGTCCTTATTTATTGCTTTGTTGATTTCATATCTGTATGATATCTACATGTGTACATTTCACAAATGAGTGACAATCGCAGATGTCAAAGTCTCGCCATTGCTGTCATCTATGCGTGTTCAGTAAGTTATTTGCGTCCGGTGGTATATTGTCCGAACGTTGATCCATATCTACAACTATGCACTCTTCGTCTATTCCACGCACTATGCAGTCAGTGGTGTCAATTTCAGTGATGAAATCGATTACCTTTGAAAGACATCTTCCAAGTCAGACCAGATGTGTGTCCGTAATAAATAAGGGTTTTACACGGAAACTCTCCGGCTGGTCCTAAGGTTCGTGGGAAACTTGAAGGACTTTTTGTTGTCTTGTTTTTTGTTTTAAATATACAAAATATACGTTACACTAAGATTTTAATGGTAAAACCAATGAATAAGCTATGGACAGATAACATCAAATTCCTGTCCAATCGTTCATCATAGAATTTTAAGAATAATTTTAAAAATATTCCATTTCATATTAACGTTTCTGTTAGATATTTATTTTTAAGTTTAAATTTTTAATCTATTCACGGACACATTTCTGATGGTGTGAACAAAATATATGATGGACTCTGTTGTTTTTGTTAATGCGATGACATATAGTATTAAGCTTCTGTTATGCAATCAATATACATTGATGTGTTTTACATCCGATCGTTTCCATGTTATTATCGTGCCATAGGCGCTGCTCGTGGAACCAATGTACATCTGAAATAAATAGCTGTTACACGCAACGACCCCGTAACTAGCCTGCTTTTGAACTGCCATAGTCAGCTTTCCTCGTCTTTTTGCGAAAGAAATTCGTGCAAGATCATTCACATACTTCTCCACTGTGGTTGTGAATCCCTTCCGGAAATGACGTCATGTGTGAACTTCTAGCGGAAGTCAAATGGCGTTCACTTAGCAAATGTCAGTTTTTAGTATGAATGAATCAGCGACGGCAACGATAACGGCCGGCCGCGTTATGACGATGTTGTTATAACAGCCCCACAGAAATCGTCAGCTGTGCTCCGCCATAATCTATATCTTGGTATTTTTGCAGCAGCTTATATGGGATCGGTTGCGTTTGACATGCTCATATTTCTAACCAAATGAAGTGTGCTTTGAAGTCTCGGGATTTTACAAATCGATTGAGATCGTTAGTGGAAACATTCACAAGACCTTTGACACTTTTTACATTACGACAAGGTAAGGCTTTTTGGCAGAAATTCATGCGGCGCAAGGTCGCGACATTGTTCGACTATTGAATGGATTAGTGTGTTAAAGCTTTAAACCTGAACCCAGGGATCTCTCATTTTACTTTGGATTGAAATATGAGTCTGTCTCGCTGTGTAACAAACCTGCTATAATGAACGGCCTCTCAAGAAATCTGTCAAATCGCGTAAAACCAATATGGCGGATGTGCCTCTGTGCTCGAAAAACGTGCGCAACATAAATGGTTGTACATATGTCTGAAAGCTTATGTTGAGATGAAAATGTTTGTAATAAACAGCCTGGTAGATATATAAGTGTTTGTGTTATTCATCACGGCCGACGAGAGTCACGTGATTAAAACTAGAACGAGGTGGCGAAACTTGACCTATGGCCAAGGAAAATTCAAGACAGAGCAGTGACAACGAGAAGGGTGGGTTGAACGCTGTTTACAAAAGTATTCCAGTTATAGCAGCTTTTTGAAGCTTATCAAGGCAGAAGTGATGCAGATCTCGACCTCCATCTCTTTGGAGAAACCCATGAACTTGGGTACGATGCTGATAACCAAGAAACGAACCCGAATTCCAACCCACAATCACAGGTTCCTGCTGTCGCCAAGGGAAGCAACAAGAATCGCGGGACACAAGTGTATTATGTTGTAGCGACTTGGTAGCAGAATCTCTTTAAAATGTTTAAATGACATTTCAAAGCGATACGCCTAGACGCGGAAGCTAATTGCTGTCATCTTCTCTATAATGGGAACACGGCGTTTCTGAGCCCATCCTTCCTGTTTCGACAGGTGTTCCTTGTCAGTATCTTGTTCATTTGGCGCCAGGGTGACTTGATATTCATAGATCATGTTGACGTCATGACACGTCAACACATTAGCACCGATATATTTAGACTTAACGCCACCAACACATCCATACATTCGCTCTGACTTTATCTTTGAATTTCACCTTTCTCGCCATTCGATGTATTGTTATCTTTGAACTTTGGCCTGTACCCAACCGACCAGGATCAGTGGTCGCCCGGTCAGACACCAAGCACAGCAAATGGTTAAACCCAAGACCTCGTAAATATTTGTCCAACACAATTAAAGAATCTCACGCAACGATAACTTTAAAAAGAATTATATAAAACGAACTGTTGTTTTGGTGCATGAACACATCTCCCGACAAAAGGAGATGTGGAACTAAACATTACGATGCACATGTAGTTGATCAACACACTAAACAGATGGGACCGAGTTTATACAGGTCGAACATCTGTAAATTTTGTACCACAACGACAAGCATCTAACCTGTTCTCCTCTTAGATGATATAGTTTACGCTCTGGTTTTAATGTTATAGGAAAGGTGACGCTCTGATTGGCACAGGACGTCATTGTGTGGAGATTATGCTTGAGCGTAATCGGACTAACATATACAAAACCTTTATCAGGATAGGAATACAATCGAGGCACCCTTCGTTCATGTACAACACATAAAATACAAAAAAATAATAGAAACCACTGAGACGTATGGAAACGGATTACACAAGCTGGTCATTAATTGGCCATTAATATGGAGGACAAATACCACCTCAAGCCATCATCAAACACGGGTGTATATTTCGTTATATATGACAGTTTGTGTGCACAGTTTTTGCGATACTATGGTTTGGGCAACTCATTCCTAGCAAACTTCATGGACGTCTCGTTTATAACACATTACTATATTTCATGCAATTCCAAATTTTTTTATATGGTTCAGTGAAAGGAGGGTATTCAGAATCCCCAGAGTTACCTGACGTTATGAAATGAAAGCCATGTATTTCGCTATGAAATGAAAGCCATGTATTTCACTTGTTCGCTTACAGCTTAATTATGATACCTTTTGCCCGTATCTGTATCGTGCCATCCACTTCGAGCTCTTTGTGATATTTTAATATACACCTTACTCTCTCTACGCTAAATGTACACAATGTGTGTGTTTTGCGTCCAAAAACAGCAGATATTTCTAAATATGAATCTTGAGTATTACGTCGATAAGCACACAGCGAGTGTGCCGATAAGTCATAGCGACTATGTCCATGGATCATATAGATTACGTCGATAAACAATAGTGAATGTGTCTATGAACCATAAATATTATGTCTATAAACATAAACCTTGTCTGAAGAATATTGACTGTATCCCAAAGTGATTACGTCCATACGATAATTAACAGGACTAGTTTCGGAATGTCTGTCTCATTTTCATTGTTCTCTCGTGCTCTCGGCAGAGATGTGTACGTATGTTGCACTCATCTTCCACGGTGCGATTCCTCGTTGGAATCGGTCTCTGAGAACACGATGATACGTGGGTTAGTGGTCAGAGTGGATGACCAGGTTGATAGCGTGTCTTCTTACCATCTCATCTCGGTTTGTCTAGTCCCGATGGTCAGGCTCGCTGACTTGGTTGACACATGTCATCGTAACCCAATTGCATAGATGTTCATGCTGTTGATCACTGGGTTGTCTTGTCCAGACTTGATTATTTACAGACTTCCGTCACAAAACCTGAATATTGCTGAGTGGCGTTAAACAACGAACAAGCAAACAAACAAACAACCTTTATTATAGGCGGATGCCAAGACACACACGAATTAAACAACACAAATGCTTTACACGTTCAGCGTCCATTTTGTTTAGTAGAATCGATAACTCTACAAATTAATGAATTTTTAATAGCAAAAATGTTACACCAAACTATTGACATCCGATTGTGTAACAGATACATCTGCCACTATTCGGGCCTCGGTCTCGTACTGTACTTTATCTATTGGGGAAAAAATCGATTTGACGACGTCTCGAATGAAATATCGCTGCATTATGAAAAGTGCACTCAAGTCATGACACGAGTGATGCGGTACGGAACAGCGAAAAAATAATTACACGCAGCGAATATATGGACCCTAACACGCGTTGTGCTTGAAATAAACTTCCTCACTCAAATGTCAGTTCGCTTTCAAATAATCGTCGTTCAGACAACGCCAAAAAATTTAAGGTCATTTGAAAACCTGCTTTTAGTTAAAAGACGCGTGACCTTTAAAATGTTACACGCCTAAATGTACTGCGAGCATATCACACACGCTATTTGAGTGCCAACTGCGTTGAAAATGTTATGGTAACGGAAGTGTTGTTGATGACGATGTTTGAGGGTGAGGTGAGGTGAGGGTGAGGTGAGGGTGAGGTGAGGGGTGGGTGGGCGGGGCCGGGTGGGAGTGTGGTTGGATGGGGCCGGATGAGTGAGTGGGTGAGTGAGTTAGGTTTTACGCCGTCCTCAGCTATATGGCGGCGGTCTGTAAATAATCGAGTCTGCACCAGACAATCCAGTGATCAACAGCCTGAACATCGATCTGCGCATCATCGGGAACCGATGACATGTGTCAACCAAGCAAGCGAGCCTGACCATCCAATCCCGTTAGTCGCCTCTTACAACAAGCATGGGTTACTGAAGATCAATTCTAACCCGGATCTTCACGAGTTGGGACCGGGTGAGGATGAGGGTGGCATTTTTTATGAAGTGGGAACCAAATGACTGCTGTTTAAACACACACTCATTTCAGGGACGCCGTTCAAATATTTGTTCCAGGACATTCGCAAGGTCAAAGAAATAATTTATGTTCCATTTTAATATCAGAGGTTCAACGCCATTTAGCCATTTCGTGTGGAACAATATTTTTTTATAATATGTTCAAAGAACATATCCGATAACTCACGTAATTATATTTTCTGTGAGCTTAAACGTTTAAAATGTGTCATTGAAGTGGCATAGAACTCTTCACCATACCACTTCCTTCACGAAATGAACATGCCATCGGCACGTGTTAAATATCAACTGACATTAAGTGGTCTATCGGCCCACGCTTTCCGAACAGAGCTCCCTCGTGTCCGTGTTTCAGCATGGATCTGATGTCAACAGAGACAGTCGTTGCCTTCTCATATGACAAAATGAAATATAGGATTTACAACTGAAAAGAATAAATGGACCTAAACTGATGGGCGAAAGAAAATATACTCCCACATTTGATGATTGCGGAACTGAAATAGGTGTGTTGTGTATCGCAGTTGTATTCTGACGTCATAAATATTTTGTATTTCTGGTTGACGTTCATCAAAGTAGTTACATTTTGAAAACGTTAGTAACTTTGGGGTCAAAGTGTATACTTTCTTTTCTCTGGTAATGTGTTACTTTAACTGGGATACCTAATCAAAATTTTCAGAATTTCAGTTTTCAGAAATTAATCAATAAAACAGTAACATGAACTTTACATTATTGGCATTTCTGTAATATGGTGGCCCAAAATAAATTATCATATTCCTAAGTGTCAAACCTTTATTCTTCAGTCTGTATATATACACAAATGTATGCAGGAACGTAGGTACGTGTTACTATGGAATCCTAGAAGGGACATTGTCGCATGGTCGCATTGTCGCCCATTGCATGAATAAATATATTATTCAAAGTGCGACAATGCGACAAATGGACAAAATGTCGCGTTGACGAATTGTCACACTATAGTTAATTTTGCCACTTTTTTCTTTTTTGTGTGTGAGGGCGACAATGCAACAACACTACAATGTCCCTTCCAGGATTCCATACGTCACGCCACTTTCCAACCCTCGTTTCAGTACCGTCCTCCAGATTAACTCTCGCTCGTGAGTGTGCTTTGATTGGACGACTATTTTTAGCGTCACGCCGTTCGAATCGGATTCAAAACTAAAATATAGTCGCAAACGGATGCTTGGTACTTATTACAATATAATGGAGATATAACGTGGACTGGACAAACTGAATGAGTGAGTGAGTTAAGTTTTACGCCGCACTCAGCAATATTCCAGCTATAAGGCGGCGGTCTGTAAATAATCGAGTTTGGACCAGACAATCCGGTGAACAACAGCATGAGCATCGATCTGAGCAGTTTGATATGATGACATGTGTCAACCAAGTCAGCGCGCCTGACCACCCCATCCCGTTAGTCGCCTCTTACGATGAGCATGGGTTACTGAAGATCGATTCTGACCCGGATCTTCACGGGTCGTGGCTGCAGGAAGAACCATGCCAACATTTAACTATGGGAGCTTAACCAGTGTTTCATTGGTTGAAAAACATGCCATTGTACCTCTATTTAGTAAATTATATTCAAATTAAATGTTTGTGTTCATAAATGAATCAATAAATGAGAAAGAACGTGTTTTGACTGCTGACATCACCAGATAGACTACTGCACCAATCAGGTTAAGTACACTTGGAAAACATAGGGCAACCGAAGCATGACTTAAACCAT